TTTATTGATATTTGTTAGAATTTTTTATTAAACTCACTAACTATTACCTAATATAAAAGTTGACAAATAATTAGGTTTTCCTAAACTCTCAATAAAAATATCTTGGAGTTTCCATTTAGAATTTTGATCTCTAGCAGGATGAGGTAAATTTAAAATATTTGCAACATTAATATCAAGCTCTTCATCATCACTATTACTATTACTTTCATTATTTTCAATATCTTCTTCGTTTGATTCATCTTCAAACATATTAATCCATCTTGATACTAGATTTCTCCAATTACTTTCGGTTTGAACATTAGAACCATCATTTGACGATTTATCATCTGACACATCCAGATTATCTGACATATCAGGATTATCTGATACATTCAGATCTTTATTTTCATTTACTAGAAATGCAATATTTGTACTTCGAAATTTTAACACATCTTCATCAATTTTTTTTTGTTTAAGTTTTTGTTGCATTGAAGCACATATCTGAGTCATTCCCAAAACTTTTTCATACTAAAAAATTAATAAAAAAAAATTATTATTTTTATAAAATTAATTTACTAATTAAAATACTTACTGCTAAACGATTTCGGCATTTATCCCATTGTAGAAAAAAGTCTTTCAAGAGATGCTGTAGTTACTGCAATTGAAAAAATACGTTCAGCTACGTGGTATAATTCTTTACAATAACCATGAACATAATTCCAAAGTTCCAAAATATTATTAAATTGTCGTGTAGTATTATCATTGTAAGGATATTTTTTTTGCCAATAAGCTTCTAACTCAACTAATAATGCTGTTGGATTTTCATTAAACCAAGCACAATAATAGTAAGTAATCCATTTACCAAGATGTGTAAAAGATAAAGTTTCAATTTGTGAATTAAATTTATCAGTATGATATCCTGAATGGAGTAAAAATGCTAATAGTAAAAGAGGCTGTTTCTAATAATTCCACCTTTTTTCAAGTTTTTTAAAAGCTTGTTTTTAAAATTATTATTATCTAATGAACGCAAAACTATAACTAAATTACCAAAGCAATGGAGAACATCATGAAGTTG